TTTTTTTTTTTTTTTGCTGGTGGTTGAGCACAGATGCATCCAAAAAAATCAGTGTTTGTGTAACCCTCTGTTCTGTGGGGATTCTTAATTATTTTTGCAGAGAAAAAGCTTTAAAATGAATTAAGTGCTAATGAATGATGCCAGAGTGATGAAATTGGAGACTGAAGTCCTTGGTTAGGTCATAGGACAGATTAGCCTAGCCAGCAGTAACACAAATTCTCCCCCATACCCCACTATCACCGTCCAGTCAATGAATCTCAAATCTACCTCTTCAGTTTTTGTCCCTCTTGCTGACTCTTGGGTCAGCTGGGGCAGGATGGTTAATTTACCAAGTGCCTTTTTTTTTCCATGTGCAAAGAGCACCCTGTAACTTCTCAATAGGAACTGTCTTTATTTGAGATTAAAGTAATTGTGCAAGGACAAAGTCAAGTGTCCACGAGACAGCACAATGTGCCCTCTTTTTGACGCCTCCTTATTTCTACTTTATAAAATGGCAGCAGATTTCTAGAGATGTGACAGTGCAATCCAAAGAACACCACCACCGTCATATTTGCAGAGTGGCATTGACCACACTGTATATGTCTGCTAAGTAGAGAGTCCTGTCATCTCTTTTTATATTAGGCTCCTCAGCCCCAAGGTAGCAATGGGATTTGATTGCTAGCAAGTACACAGAATCACACATGTTAACATTCATAGCTTTGAAGGGCAGAATGGACATAAAACCATCTAATCTGACATCTGCTAATTTATGCCATAGAATTTCACCCAGTTATCCCTGTACTGAGTCCAGTTAACTTGTGCTTAAGTCAGACTGATGACCTAGGAGAAAACCATTTCCCAACCTTGCTTTACAAAGCTTTCTAACTCTCCTGTCTTCCAACTATGGCACAAATATATGTCTTGTGTGGAGACTTAGTATCTCAACATTAGACAGTATCAGTTTCTTTTACTTTTAAAACCGACTGCATGAATTAGCTGGGAACAGCGTTGCTGAATTTAGTTGAGAAGCATATTTTTAAAAGCTTTTGAATGTCTGCTGATTCATATTTTAGTTTCCAGCTGCTGATTATATTGGGCAACATTTAAAATGTTTTAAGTTTCTCAGATTTAGTAGTATTTCCTGTCTGTAAAAATAAAGCGTTTACATTTGCTTTTTACATCGTTCCAAAAATGTGATCCCATCCAAATGGCAGTAGCAATTGAAATTTTACCATGATGTTTCTCAGCAGCAAAGAAGAAAACGTTCTGATCTACTGATGAACCTGTGTGACATTTAGTTTAGTGTTTTCTTTCTTCTCTCATTAATGTGTCAATTATATAAGGTCCGTGGAGACTCGGAAGCTTTCTACCCAACAGTTCCTCTTCACACTTACCAACCTATATGTTTCAACCCCAATGTAGAGTTTTTCTTCGGGGGGCGGGGAGGAGTAAGATGGCAATTGCTTTTCTAGGCCATTCAGTCCTGTTATTCTCTCTTGGCTCAACCAGTGAGGGTGCCAGATGTCATGGGTAGACTTGGCAAAGCAGATAACTTTGTTCACCACCAAATTCACTTCACACAAGTTAACAAACAGCAGTTAGGTAATGACAGGATTTGGTTGCTGCTGCTCTGTGCTGCCTTAAACAGGTAATCTAGTGGCAATACAGTTTTTTCATCAGTTCCCTGAGCCTTGCCTATTTTCCAAGAACCAACTGCATCATTAGCAACAGACTTATATGGGTGAGGGCATGGTGATTAGGGAGAGGAGGGAGAAGAGAACAATTTTACTGCCTTGTGCACCTGGTATGGAAGTTTCTGTTTTGCAGTGGCTGCCGGTGTTGAAGCCACTTAAGAACTGGGATGTGGTCAATCCATTTTTCAACTGTGAATGCTAGCAAAAAAGAACCTACCAATCATGTGCAATACACTTACACAAAAGCCTCTTCTGTGGTCCAGATACACGAGGGCTCAGAACCATTACTAGCTGGCCTTGGAGAGTTCTTAATATTCGTAAGCATAGGTGAATATTAGTTTCATAGTTACGCTGAAGTTGTGTGCACTGAAGGTGTTAGCAATAAAAGCATTTGAAGAGGAAGGTGTCTGCCATGAGGGGAAGGTAGAAGGAGTTCTGATCTGTGAAGAGCTGTTAATTTCCTATTGCTTTCTTTGTGCATTTGGTTAGCAGAGAAAAATTATATTTTGTAAAATCTCTGTAAGATCAGAAAGGATTAAACCCTGTTCAGGAAGGTGGCTTACTTCTTTGGACTGAAAACTTCAGAATGAAGTTTCCTGCCATGCTTTGCCAAAATGGCTTTGGGCTCAGATGGTAGCGGTAGCCAGGGAAGACTTTTAAAATTGTCATTGAAGTTACTTATGCAAATAAACTAATGGGACAATATTGATGCTATTGAAAGGTTGAAGTTATCCAATGAAGAAATCCGACAGGCAATCCTGAAGATGGATGAACAAGAAGATCTGGCCAAAGATATGCTGGAACAGGTGAGAAGAATCACAGTCTCATCCAACAATATTGTTTCTAAGTATTGAAGGCCAGTTGTTCTGCTCGAAGCACTTCGTTAGGCCTGTGTTAAATTTAAGGCAGACGTATGCAGCTTGGTTGATGCCACAGGAGGAGTTTCTTCAGGTCTAACTTTGACCCTAAGACCTCAGTACAATTGTATTTGTGTATAAAAGGAGAAGTTTGCCCAATATGCCAAATGCATCAACTGAAACCATGCCAGGTTGAATTTAGGCTAGTATGTCTTTAATTCACATGGTAATATAAGTGTCCGGATCTCAGGTATGCATGATGTTTAGTTTTCTTTTTATTTAATTACATCTTTCCCTTTTTTGCCTTCCTACTGTGTCCCTTAAATTTCTCTCACAGCTCACCCCTCTTCCTTTGTACTGCCAACCATTCTCCTATCCTTCATCATCTCCCAAGCTTTCAATTAAGGAGCATTGTGAACCTAGCAATGCAATTTAGTGATAATCAAAGCAGAGAATTAGGAGTGAGGTTCTGTTCTCCACTATTGTTTCATGATGTGACATGTGAGAGCCCCCCCGCACAACCCTCCTTTACCTGAATTTCCCTATCAATTGACGGGGGTGATTATACATACCCATACTTATCCCCCAATAAAAAAATGCTATAAGAGCACAAAATATTATTCCATATGAGACCAGCGTCTTCTATGTGTATTATCTGAATGCTTAATTGTGTGTACAAAGCCTGGGCCTGGGCACTGGGTTGGGGCAGCAGAGCAGGGAGATTGTGGTGGAGGACGGGGGCAATCCTGCATCTGGAGGGCAAGTGGGGGCAGGATCAGGGGGCAAGG